TAACATGATGTAATCAAGCCAACGAATATCAAATCATCCAAATCATTTGTAATTTTTTTATATGATCTTGTAATCATAACTCAACACTTCATGCATTTTATATAAGGGCATGACTACTCAATAGTAGGTCCATATGTGTAAAGGCCTAAGATCGGCCTTATTTTCATGGAATGATGATTTTGGTATATGGTTATGGTCTACCTCGAGGAGGGCCTTTCCAAGGTTGTAACGTGGCTAGGCTTGGTGTTATGAAGAATGGACAGGCTCAAGTATACTCCAAAAATCCTTTACTTTTGGTGCTTATCAAATTAGAACCTTTTCTGCTTTGTGTGACAACTCCTACATTAGGTGCCTTTTCCTTGTCATCTCTCCTTTCTTTTTTTTTTGACAAGTTTTGTTTTGGGTTTAGAACGATTTTTCTTTTTTCTTTTGCATTTGATCTTTCCTTTTGGGTTTAGACTAACTTTGTGTCCCCCTCTTGTGTTTCGTTCTCCCAATTTCCTATTTGTATCTTTGCACCATTCCCATCCCAAGGTATGAAATAATGTAGGTTGAATAACTAATGCTCAATTGACGAGACTCAAAAGGGCTGCCAAAAAGATGGATTTTCACTAAGGTTAAGAATATGGGATTATATTTGTGGAGTTTCAAGTTGCCTCCTATGTTGGTGAAATCATCATATCCTTTCTTTATAGGCCTAAGATGGGCTTCTTTTCATTCATTACATCTTGTAAGCCAAAGATCATCAAGATTCTTAAAATGTTGAGTATGTATGCCTTTTGATATTGCCTGTTTGTATGTATACGTTTTATTTAATTCAAGTTAATAACAATAAAGAGATTGAAAATAGAACAAGATAGACGTAATTGAAAATATGTGTTTTATTCAGTAATTAATGAGAGTACAAAATAAGTAGATTTGACAGCATGAATCCCTTAGTCTATCATAAAAAAAAAAAAACAAAGGAAAGAAACAAAATAAGACCTAGGGTGCTACATCTTGGATTGTTGACAACTTCTTGAGATTGCGTCTTCGAGCTTTGTCCTTTCCCGACGTAGGTGAAATCCTCTTTAAAAATAAAGTTCATCTATATGATTTATGGTTTCATTTATCAAGTCCCTTTCAATTAATGTTCCCACAGTATAAATTTTTTGAAATGTGTCTTAACCAAGGTATTGTAAATGGCACTTGTATGGTGGATACATATTGTCTATGAACTATGGGACAAGTTCATGATCAGGAGGTCTTTGTGGAATAAGAGCAACCTTTGATTGCCACCTAGAGAAGAAGTCAATAAAGCCTTCTTCTTCCCCTTACTTAAGCAATTCGAGATCGCGCAAGGTACTTGTGAGCTTGATGTTATCTCCATATTGGGTTAAAAACGCTTTTATAACGTTACTCCAAGTGGAAGTTTGTTTTCCATCGAGGTTATAAAACCATTATCTAGCAGTTGGGTCCAATGAAAGAGGAAAAGTACATGCATATAGGCTTCGCTCAACCCCTTTCAATGCTATAATTCCAATAAAGCTCATTAAGTGAGTCCTAGGATTGTCTGTAACCTTTAAGGTTGGCAAATCCGTACTCAAGAAATTTTCTGGGAAAGTCTTTCCACTAGATTGTGGTGCAAGCTCATAATTGAAGTACTTATTCCCTGAGTTAGCTCGAAGGACAAGATTCTCCAAGGCCTATACTCTTTCGGCTTTTGTCTTTTCTTGCAGAATGTTTTCTTTTTCTGTTTTTGCTTTTATTTTAGCCTTTTCTGCTTTTTAATGAGCCTTCATTTGGGTTTTTTTCTTCTCGTAGGGCCTTTAGGTTTTGGAGTTCCTCTCTAAGTCTCCACTGCTGCTTTGTCACCCATGATTGGACTAGTATGCGAATAAGGAAGATGATCTAGTAATGTGTATCACGAGAAATTAAGCGCGTTCACTTAAACCTATTCTGCCAAGCATTCAAACAATGAACCAAAGTGAAAATGATTGTTTTATTATTATTTTTTAATCCTTGTAATATGAATTCACTTTAAGCACGTTTGTTGATGAAGAATGTCAAAAATATTTACGAACAATCATTAATGGAATGTCATGATTTGTGTTGACTTCAACAAGGTAATCTGAGAGGAATGGTGCCCTTCGAACAAGTGTACTATTCCTTTAGTGGGTTCAGAATTATTAGAAAGCTAATATATTCAGTAAGGTCAAGTGATTGGAATGCCTGGGTGAAGGCCGCTTCCGATCAGTAATATTAATGCATAATTAACATTACAACTTAATTTTTATTGAACCCTTCGGGTAACACCAAAGCAACTAACGATTTGAAGCGACGAATTTATCCGGAAGGAATTAATAATTCGACCGAGTAATTAATATTTAGACTGGAGAATTCGAGCTTAGAGCGTCAAAACCGATCGTCAGAAGTCGAGTCGCAAAATAGTAAAAGACGAGACATGAAAATAATAATAAATCAACAAAGACCAAAATACCCCTAGCATCGGAATGCCCCATGCAAACCGAGTGCTAGGGGCATATGACCTAGCATGGTGGCTAGCATGCGCACCAAGCCGAGCCTAGGCTTGCTAGTGCGTGCTAGCGCACCAATGCTAGCATCGCAAGGCTAAGCGCGCCAGCAGCAGCATGGCTGGGACAATGCGTGCTGCCTAGCAATGTTGGGCTAAGGTGCAAGGCCAGCAACAGCCTGCATTCTTGGTGCCTGGCTCGCTGGATGGGAGTTCTAGCAGCCTGCACAAGCATGCTGGGCTTGCTGGCTGGCAGTGCTAGCAGCCCGCACGCTTGTGCTGGGCCTGCTGGGCGAGGCAGCCACAAACAAGTCAGCCCACCTTGGGTGCCTTGATGCCCAAGGGTGGGTGCCATGTGGCGCATGGTGAGAAGTGTGTGAAGTGTTGTGTTGGCCGGTTTTGGGAGAGGGAGTGGGGAGCAAGTTTGGTCCCCCCCTCCTCCAAATGGTCCTCACCTAACCTCTCACATGAGCTTGCCACTTGTTGATTTATTACTAGTTTCATTATTAATTTTATTTTAGCTTTAAAATAAAATGGGAAAATCAAATTCTCCCACATTGATGGGAGAGCTTTTCACTCTCTAGCTCTTCCCTATAAATACCCAATTTGGGGCATTGGGAAGAGGACTGGAGTAAGAGTTGAAAAAAGCATCACCATTGTGAAAACCTTTGAACTCATTAATTACTCAGGTTTATGGTCGGGCCTTGCTAACCCCAAAGCATTAGACCGTTTTCGGTGGTCGAGTTGTGTGGGTGGACTATCGTTGGAGGCCGTCGTAATTTCGAGGCTTGCTTTCGAAGTAAGAGCCCCTTCCGGTCGGGCGAAGCACGCTTCAAAGGTAATCGTTTTATCTTAATCTTGTGATTAATTTATCAGAATTTGAATAGAATTTTCCTCATCTCCTATAATTACGTTTATGGTTTTATTTATTGCGAGTGCGGTCTTGTTTTTGGGTTTGTTTCCGCGGTGAGTCGGATCACCAAACCCCAACAACGGTAGCGGAGCCTCGCTCGTTTATTTTTAAAATCATAATATTTTTCAAGGCGATTTTATGGCTTCATTTTTCTTGAATTAAGTTGCTAATTAGATTAGTAGCTCGTTTGATCTATTTTAACCAGTATTAGAGTTGTCTTTAGCTCCCAAACCTAGATTTCGACCCAAATATAGTTAATTTTTGGTGGAAAAGGCGTTCTGGAAATGGTTTTACCCTATAGGGCTCGGGTTTTAGCCAAAAAACGACCATAAATGCACTTTTGGAGGGATTTTTCGTTTTAACGAAAAATTTTAAGTCTTTATAACCTTGAAAATTCATTGCAATCAGAGATAGATCGGTCTATATGATTCAACGAAGAATGAGCCAAAAATGGGATTTTTCAATAAATGGGGAATTGCGTGCAAATGCTACGGGATGGAAATGGGGGAATGTCTACAATCCCTGGATTTAATCAGATACAATTTGAAGGATTTTGGAGGTTCATTGATCAGGGTTTAACAGAAGAACTTTATAAGTTTCCAAAAATGGAAGATACAGACCAAGAAATTGAATTTCAATTATTTGTGGAAACATATCAATTAGCAGAGTGGTTATGTATTTGGTTCTTTCCTTAATTTATATGCAATTTTAAACCTCTTTAAGCATAATTACTTGGTGGTTATTTATGTTTGAAAGCTTGGTTTTACTTTTCACATAATTGCAAATTAATTGCATTAAGTGTGAGATTGTTGTTCTTTGAGGCTTCTAAGTACTGAAGATTCAATCTTGAATTATGTTAAGTGATTGAAACTTTGAGTTACTAAATTCCATGTTTTTTGGTTAACTTTGTTCATTTAATCATTTTAGTTGATTGGAATCATAAAGTTTAAAACTTGTGATAGAAATTTGTTTATCCTCATATTGGAAGATGTAATTTTTTAAGGATTCACAAGTATAAAAGTTGGAGTTTTTATTGAACTTATGTTCATTTTTTCAACTCCCTTTTATTTTGTCAAAATCTCAATATTAATTTAAATTAATTAAATTAATTATGAGAATTGCCCTAATTTATTTTGTTACACCGAATTCATGGTAGGTTATTGTGTACTCCGTCACTAGTGTCGAGGCTATGCCTTGCCACTAGATGTTATTCACACGTAAGATAGCGTTGTCATTTGTTAGTGGAAAGAGCATGTTAATGGTATAAACACATGGTAGTTGTTTCTACGTCATTGACATTGGTAATTTTATGAGCCATGACTTACGTAAGTACACGTACATGTTCACAACTATTACACTCAGATTAACCAAACACTCAAATATGACGTTAATATATTATTCAACAATTAATTATTCCTGACTCACAATTTTTGTTTAAAATGATCAAACAACAATAACTAATTGGTTTAACTTTCGTTTTGAATTGAGGTTTGACTTTCGTTGACTTTCTCTCTTCTCTCTCTTCTTCATGGTTCTTCATTTTTGATTGGTTTTCTTCATCAAATCTGGGTTTCAATGGCGAAGAAGAAGAAGCAAGCTATTTCTACACCTCAAGTAGTGCAACAAAAGGCTGCTCATGAAGTTGTTGGGTCGATTTTGAAGAATTTGGGAATTTCAAGCACCCCTTTCGTTCCTAGCCCGATTCAAGAGGGGGATGAACTGCTTACTCCGGCGCCGGCGGTTGTTCAGTCAGCTTGTGGTACTATTTCCGGTGGTCCATTGGATGCTGAAGCTACTGCCGTTGCTAAAGCTGCTGCTAGATTGAACCAGTCCAATGGAACAGTACCTAGGGTTTCTGGGTTTTCTGTTCCATTGAATGCTGGTGGATCTGGGCACGGTGGTGAACCAGGTCGTTCTGCCTTTCTTTCTCACCCTCTCTGGATCATATTGCGCACAAAGTTAATGAAGATTGAGCTGCTTCCCTTTCTGCCTTGGAGTTGAGCTCGCGTAATTCTGGTGAAAACCGTGTTGCTCCTTCCCCTGTTCTGGAGCAGAATGTGACTCGAACTTCATCCTTTACGGGGAAATTGGCTGCAAAAGGAGCTACATTATCCTTTGTTGCTCCGAAAGTGCAAGATGGAAAACTAATTGCTGAGCTACAAGCAGCCGAGCTTGAGGAAGGTAATCGAAAATGGGTTAATGCTCTTATTTTTTATGTGGTTGGCTTTTATCCTACTATTGCTGCTGTTCTTCGTTTCTTTGCTCAACAATGGAATGATATGCAAAAACCAGATGTGTATTGGCATGATGATGGGTACTTTATTATCAATATGTGTTCTAGTGACGATAGAGATACTATACTTTGTTCTTGTCCTCATATGTTCTTTGGAAAGCCTGCAATAGTGAAGCCTTGGTGCCCCGATTTTGATTTTCATGCTGAAATTCTTAGAACTATTCCTCTTTGGGTTAAATTCCCTAATCTCCCACTTAATTGTTGGGGATCTCACACTCTTAGCCGCCTTGGTAGTTTGCTTGGAGTGCCAATTTGTGCTGATGAGTGTACTACTAGACATATTAGAGTGTCTTTTGCTAGGGTTCTGATTGAGATTGATGTCACAAAGCCTATGCCAACCTCTGTGTGGGTTGAGAGTCCTTCGAAGGAATTATTAGAGATCAGGGTGGTGTTTGAGTGGGCTCCTTCTTTTTGCTCTAAGTGAAACAAGATTGGTCATGATTGCTCTGTTAATCCTCCTTTGCCTAAGTAGGCTTCTAAGCAACCGACTCTTGTTCCTCCTAAGCAAAAGCAAGTTTGGGCTCCTAAGCCTACCCATGTTCCTTCTTCTACTGCTGCTGCTGATGTTGGGGTTTCTGTTCATGGTCAATCTATTATTACTCCACAAGTTCATACCTCTAAGAATTCAAATGAGGGTTGGAGAATAGTAGGGAGGAAAACAAAAAGCCAGCAAACTAGAGTTCATCAGCCTGCTTCTACCTCTAATGCCTTTGTTGCTTTGTTTGCAAACGAAATGGATGGTGCAGGTGGTTTCACTATAAATCCAAGCGGGGGTGAGGTTAATCCCCCTTTGGTGTCATGATTTACTCTGTTTGGAATGTCAGGGGCCTGAATGACCCTGGCAAAGTTGCCTCTGTAAGGAGGTTGCTTCACTCTCATTCAGTTCATGTTGTTGGATTGCTTGAAACAAAAATAAAATTGAAATATGTTCTCACTTATCAGAAGAAGTTTGGCTCTTCTTGGCTTTGGTTGTGTAATTATGATCATTCTCCCAAAGGGAGGATTTGGCTTGGTTGGAATGTGGATAAAGTAATTGTTAATGTCTTGAAGATTCATGAACAGTTCATTCATTGTACTGTTTCTTCTAAGGATCTCTCTACTCAAATTTATCTCACTATTGTCTATGGTCTTCACTCCATTCATGATAGGCTTTCTTTGTGGGAGGGGCTCAGAAGCATCTTTATCCAGCATTCTCCTTGGCTTTGTGTTGGTGATTATAACTCTGTTCTTCATGCTTCTGATAGGCTTCATGGTGTTGATGTTACTAATTATGAGACTAGAGACTTTCAGACTTTGGTTAATGATTTGGATCTCACCGAGCTCAAAAGCAAAGGGTCCTTCTACTCTTGATCTAATAAGGCTCATATTGGCCCTAGAACGCTCTCTAGACTTGATAGAGCCTTTGGTAATCAAGCTTGGTTAGCTTCTCATGGGCATGTTGAGACTGTTTATGTCCTTCCTTCTTTATCTGATCATAGTCCAGTTTTGCTGGATATTTGCTCTAGCCCTGTTGGGAAAGGTAGACCTTTCCGATTTCTAAACTGTATTGCTGATCACCCTGATTTTCTTGATGCTGTTTCGCAGGCTTGGGGCTCTGGTAGTTCTGTTTGGCAGAAGCTCAATTCTGTGAAGTCTAGTATCAAATCTGTTACTATCAAGCAGTTTGGTAACATTGAGGGAAAGATTGACCAGGCTAATGTTGAGCTTTCTAGAATTCAAACCTTAATGGCTCAGAACCTTGATGATTTGGATTTATATGCTAAAGAATCTGATGCTATTAAGGTTGTCAAGCACTGGAATGATATTCAGGAAAGCATCTTCAAGCAAAAATCTAGGATTAATTGGGTTAAGCTTGGAGATGGCAATTCTCACTACTTCTTTTTTGTGATGAAGACTAGGCAAGCTAGGAATAGAATTGACTCCATTTTTTATTCTAATTAGGTGTTGCTTAAGGATCCAGATGCCATTTCTCATGAAATTATCTCTTTCTATAAGTCTCTTTTAGGACTCAGGCTCCTTGGCTCCCTGCTGTTGACCTTGTTACTATGCGGAGGAGTAAGCAGCTTAGCTCTGCTGCTCAAAGCTTCCTCATTAGGCCTATTTCTCATGATGAAATTGATGTCGGCCTTAAGGGAATTGATAACACTAAAGCTCCTGGTATTGATGGCTTTAACTCCTTTTTCTTTAAGAGAGCTTGGCATATTGTGAAAGATGATATTTATGCAAGTGTTATTGATTTCTTTAATAACGGGATTTTGCCAAGGCAATGGAATTGCACAACTTTTACTTTGGTCCCTAAAGTCCTTTCTGCTTCTCATGTTAAGGAATTTAGACCTATAGTCTGTTGTACTGTGGTCTATAAGCTCATTTCTAAAATCATAACTGCTAGGCTTGCTGCTGTCATTGGTGAGGTGATTGATGATGCTCAGGCAGGGTTCATTCCTGGCAAGCATATTGGTGACAATATTCTTCTTGCAACTGAATTGATCAAAGGCTATGATCACAAATTTATCTCTCCCAGGTGTATGGTTAAGGTGGATTTGAAGAAAGCCTATGATTCGATTGAGTGGGGTTTCTTGATCACTGTCATGCAGGAGCTTGGTTTCCCTCAGAGATTTGTTGATTAGATTTGGAATTGTCTTACTTCTGTCTCTTACTCTATTCTTATCAATGGTTTTCCTGCCCCCCCCCCCTTTGAAGCTAAGAAAGGGTTAAGACAAGGTGACCCTATGTCTCCCTTTCTCTTTGCTATTGGTATGGATTACCTCTCCAGATGCCTTGATGAGCTTAGGTCATCTCCTGATTTTAACTTTCGCCCTAGATGTGAAAAGTTAAACCTAACTCACATGATGTTTGCCGATGATTTATTGATGTTTTCTCGAGCTGATAGTGTTTCTGTTAAGCTTCTCTTCCAAGCCTTCTCGAAATTCTTGGGTGCCTCTAGGCTTTCTGCTAATCTTGATAAAAGTGAAGTCTACTTTGGAGGAGTCTCTGTTGATGTCCAGAAATAGTTGAGGGAGCTTCTTGGTGTTTCTCAAGGCTCCATTCCTTTTAGGTATCTTGGGGTCCCTTTCTCTTCTAAGAAGCTTACTATTGCTCAATGTAGGCTTTTGGTGGAGAGAGTCACTGCTAGAATTCAAGGGTGGATGGCTAAACACTTGTCCTATGCTGGGAGGCTTCAATTGGTGAAGAGTGTGTTGTTTGGTATCCAGACTTAATGGACTCAAATTTTTATTCTTCCGAAGAAAATTCTGAAAGAGATTGAGGCTAAGTTCAGGTGCTTTCTTTGGACTGGATCCTGTGCTCCTGCTAAGAAGTCTTTGGTTGCTTGGAATAATGTCTGTCTTCCTAAAGTTTGTGGTGGCTGGAACCTGCTTTCTCTTCCTGAGTGGAATAAAGCAGCTGTCACTAAGTTGCTTTGGGATATTGCTCATAAGGCTGATAATCTTTGGGTTAAGTGGGTTCATATCTACTATTTCAAGCATAAAGATTGTTGGACCACCCCTACCCCTGCTAGATGTTCTTGGTATTTGAAGAAGATTTTGAGTTGTAGAGATATTGTGAATGATCAAGGGGGATGGGATGGATTCGTTCAGGGCAACAAGTTGAAAATCAGGGGGATGCTGCTATTAGGCCTCAAGTGCCTAAAGTTCCTTGGAAGAGAGTTACTTTCCATAACTTAGCAACTCCCAAAAGTGTTTTTATCTTGTGGCTAGCTTTGTGGAATAGGCTTGTCACTAAGGATAGGTTGCTTCAATGGCACATCTCTTGTGATCCAAAGTGTTTCCTATGTCTGAATGGCAATGAAAGTGTTCAACATCTTTTTTTTTATTGTGATTTCTCTAGGAAGGTTTGGAGTAAGGTTCTGGGGATCTTACATGTTTCCAAGCCTATTCAACAGTTTAGTGATGAGATTGATTGGATGAAGAAAATATGCAGAAGTTCCAGATTGAAGAATAAAGTGATCCAGGTGGCCTTCACTGAAACAGTTTATTGTATTTGGATTCAAAGGAATGCAGTTCTCTTTACTGGTTGTTGCAAATCAGTTGATGCCCTTGTTCGGGATATTGTCTTTCACTCAGTTTGTAGAATCCCGGCGGGAAGCAAATATTTGATTGTTTAGGGCTTGTCTCGGGCTCCTAGTGTTTGTGTTCTGGTTTCCTTGTGTTGGGTTTTGATGTTGGGATTCTCGTTGCTTCTTTTGTATTGGTTTCCTTTTCTGCAGGCTGTTTCTACTCCTGGTAGCTCTGCTGGTGTTGTGTTGCTGTGCTCTACTGTGCTGCTGTGTTGCTGCTGACTGCTGTTTGTGCTGCTGCACTGCTGGTGTGTTGCTGTTGTTGTTGCTGCAGTCTGATGTTGCTGGTTTTGCTGTTGTTTGGTTGCTGCTGCACTGCTGTATGCTGTTGCTGGTCTGCTGCCTGCCTGTCTGGTGATGTGCCTGCTGTCTGCTGCAGTCTGCTGCTGGTGTTGTTGTGTTGATGTTGCTGTGACTGCTCCTTGTTGTTACTGTTGGTCTACACTGCTGTTCTGCTGTCTGTGCTGCTGGTCTGCTGTCACTCTTTTCTCTGCCTTGTTGTGCTTGTGCTGGTGCTGCTATGCACTATTGTACTTGCTGTTTGCTGAGCTGCTGCTTGCTCCCTGTTGTCTGCTGTTTGGTGCAAGCTTTGGTGCTCTTTTTGTTTCCTATTTTTGTTTATTTTGGTGTTTTGGTTAGTTTGCAGGCATGTCTGCTTCTGATTGTTGTTTTGTTGGTTTTTAGGTGTGTGGTTTTGTTGTTTTCTGGTTTTCTTGTTGTCTGGTACTGGTTTCCGGAACCCTTCCTAGAAGGTGGCCGGAAATCTGAGTCCAGATGTTCTAGGCCCTTCCTAGAACCCTTCCTAGAAGGTGGCTAGGTTTGGATCTAGATCTGGTTGTGGGGTTGGCCTGTTGTTTTGAGGTCTTTTGGTGTTCTGGTGGTAGTTATAACTTAGCTTTTGTAAGTTGTAACTTTCTTTCGTTCGTAATAAAATCTTATTTTCCAAAAAAAAAAAATAAAAAAAAAAAAAAAAAAAAATTGGTTTAACATGTTCGCAACTATTGCACTCAGATTAACCAATGAGATGGGCGAGAAGGAATCTAAGCCATTCATACAAAATCTAGTGGTTGATATTGTAAGGAGGGTGTTCCCGTCTAAGGGGTCCTCTCCTTAAATGCTCATGGCCCTTTAAAGCCTAGGAGTTTACACTTGGAAGGGTGTATTAGTATTTGAATTCCTGACTGTTTGGGAGACCTTGAATTAGAAATGATTCTATCATACACGCTTTTCTTTAAGAAACAAGTAGGAGTCGCCAATGAGTTTTAGGAAAACCCATAAACCTTGTTCATGCCTTTCTCCCAAGTAGAGTTCAAGGGATATTTAGCATGAATCATAAGTTTACCCATGCCCAAATTGGTCTTTAAACCAGAAATGAGTTCGGGAGCGAGGGTACCAAGATAACGTTCCCTTTAGAGGGGAATCGCGATCCTAACCTTAGTGCGGCCTCTACTAGCTCTTCCTTTTGCACAATTTCATCACTAAACAATATATCCGACGTGATACCTAAAACTAAGTTAGTTGATTTTATTTACACGCATTAATCATGTAGGAATTACATTGAAAAAGTCGTTATTCTTAATTAATAAAATTCGTGAAGAGAACAAGAAATAAACAATATTCGCCTTATCTTAAGTTATTAAACAACAATTAATTATTCAAATTCTAGTCTTGATTAACGAAAGAGTACTATATGAATTAATTAATTAAATTTTTTTTTTTAAATGATCCAACAACAATAATTAATCAATTAAAGTTATTTAAACAATAAAAGAAAAGTGATTTATCTAAGTGCTCAAGAAACTAAATGTTCTTCTTTTGTTCTAAATCTCCGTCTTACGCGTTTATGGACTTTCTTTTTTCTTAGTACCTTCAAGAGCTTCAATGGATGGATTAGGGTTGAAGAGTAATTGGGAAGAAAGAGGGAAAAGTAGTATGATATAGTAAGAGGGTTTGAGATATTAGGGATTTCAGAAATTTAGGGTTTTTAATTCTGATTTTCTGTCTCTTTAGAGCTGTGCGAAGACCCCTTTTTATAGGCGTTGGAATCTCGGTTTAGGGTTTTAGAGCCACGTTTTCAGGTGTCGCGCGCAACTCTTAGAGTCACGCTGGTGTCCCGCGCGCGCCAATCGTGCTCAACTGATTGAGTTGTGCTGGTTTGCGGTTTGCTTTATACAAAAGCGCGTTTTTAAAAATTCCATAACTTTTGATTGAAAAGTTGGATTTAGGCGTGTGAATTATCATTGGAAAGCTCTGAAAGTCTACTTTCTAATTCCGTTAGAATTGGGTTAAACTCACTTATGGATAAAAAGTTAGATCCGTTGGAGTGCAAGGGTGTCGGTTTTGGGCCCGGTTTAGTGTGTTAATCATAACTTTTTCGCTTTGGCTCGGAATTGGGCTTATAATATACCGTTGGAAAGCTCTTTGAAAAGGATATCCATCTGTATAGGCCTTGTACGAGAATTGTATGGTTGTTTTGTTTCTTAGCTCGGTTTTCCAACAATGTAGGTTCCATTAGATCTAATCATTGTATTTGACGCATTTGAGTCTGTTATTAATCAAGTTTCAACATGTATGAACATGTTTTAGGCCTAATTACTAATGCAACGAGGCTCTAAGACAACTTGGTCTCAAAATGGATTTCAAGTTACTTCATAATGCTTTTCGTAGTCCATAAACACTTCAACTTTGATCTAGCATGAAGAACGGGTTTTTGTAACATCATCGCACTTCCTTTTCGGGACAAGAGGCCAAAAGTAGGTTTCTACAGTTAGCCCCCACTTTGATTGAGTCTATAATAGAAGATGATCAAATTAGTCAAGGAAATAAATCTGAGACTCATTCTGCGAAGTTCTCGAAGGATAGATAATCTTTCAGTAATGTTTAAGGATGTCGAAACAGTCCTTGGTTCACTAAGTGTTTGAAACAAGTAGCTATGAAGGCTAAATTTTTTTTTCTCTAGTCTTAATATGCTAAAGAATCTAGATTGATCCTTTGCAATTTGTAGAACCATTTTACAAGTAAAGGTAATCTGGGTGATGTCAAGTCATGACAAGAGATCGGTTTTAAAAAATAATAAAAGGGGATGATTTCCTCTCAATCATGTCATCGTTGGTCTAAAGTCCATTGATTCGTCATTGAAACTTTAGCCTGACTTTAACAAAGTAAAAAGAATGAAAAGGGGTTTTTGATATTCGAACCGAAAAAGGTCCGGCATTCGAGCGGGTTTGGTATTCAAACCGGATGTCCACAAGATAGAAATACATGTCTTAGGACTGGAGGCATATATCCAAATCAAGTGAGAGGGAAGAAGGTCAACAACTCTCTCAGCAGTTTTGTCAACAAGATGAGTACACGCGTCTCAGGAATGGGGGCACGTGACTACATGGGTGCGACATCGTCTTGTCGCTCTTTATAAAGGGATTGGACGGACACCCTAACTGTCCCGTAAGTTAGTAAGCTCACTAACTACCGTATTTGCTACCATTTAAGGAGTGTCTGTCGACTCGTAAGCTAACGCCTACAGTAATAGTCTACCTTTTAGTTCTGAGAGGT